GGCAGGCTAATAACTAGGCCATTTACGGAGTGCAGTGTGAATGGCATTAGAAGAATTTTATATTGGGAGACAGGGAGGGACAGACCACGAAGTAGAATAGTTGGGAGATCTTCCCCATGGCCATCCTGTTGCGCGGTCTCGTGTGGGTCATGCTCCATGTGACATGTATGGGAAGGGGAGACCTGTGAGCGCCTTGGAGATTCCATTGATGAGAAGGCTGACATGCAGCATGGGTCATAATGCTTCAATGGAAAACCTGCTCGCAAACAAAAGTACACATGTTAACTATCCACATGAAAAAAATACACACGATAATTTTCCTTCTCCCGATCTTAGGCTATCTTTGCCCATTAGTCGCTTTTATGAAAGCTGAGTGGGTCAAGCTGACGATTATTTCTGGCGAAAGCTAAATCTGTTCCCATGCGTCTTCGACATCAGGAAAAGTTAGCGCTCTTCCTCTCAAATCTGCAATCGGCTGCCTCTGGTTAGGCTTGTCTGGGTTTGAGGATCACGTGCTGGTGATAGAAAGTTTCAAACTTGTCATGCGGCGGGCGTTCTCTTTCAAACCCGTCAACTGTTCCTGACTCTTGCATTCATTTGGTCTCTTTCAAACTGAGCCAAGTTAAAGGCGTGTACTAGGCCACTATTTTAAGAGATGGGGATCTTTGGACGAAATGTAGACATCTCTCTTGAAGGCCGTAGAAGTTGAAATAATAATTAATGGCCATTATTTTACACTGTAGAGCAATCGAGCTGTGTAACGTATTTAAACCCATTTCCGCACGTTCACCCATCGATATCCCGACTGTGTAATTCAACCTAATTAACTGTACTTTGCTTACAGAGGACGAGGATTTGAATGAACAGCTTGAATCTGTGGGTTTATGTTTTCCGACACTCGGACTGTTAAGAGGGACCCCGCTCAAGCCGTTAAATCGACGAATTTATGACAGAGATTCCTTCAACGTTGGGTGGATGTGGCCACGTGAATCCCAAGCAGGATCCGATATGAACATGAGGAAGCCCCTCCTCGTTCCTCTGCCGACGATCCCGGCGCGACAGAGGGAGGAGAAGAAGAAGCTCTGGTCAACTAACCGCAGGAGCTGCAAGATGGATGACTGTTCCCCGAGGATGACGTTGGCTTTGAAATGGCCTCACGGCGATTTATCTTGGAGTATATGCTCCGCCGAAAAGAGTGCGGAGGCCGAACTCATATTCTTTGCCGCTCATGAACTCCTCCGCCACCATTCTCTCCCCTAGAGAAACCTTATGTGATGCATGTGTGTAAAATTTGTTGCAGACATAACCTCAAAGACGGCGTTCTTCATTTTAAGTGCGCGTGCGTGTACTGATATTGCAACATCTTCGACTATTTCTGTCGCGTGGAATGCATGGCGTCTCTCTGTTGTTGCAAATTATTTCACACGAGGGGTACATGGCATTCATGTGTAACAAGAGGAAGGAAAATTATGGTGAAAATGTCTTCACATATTCTACTTATCGTCAGCTAGCTTCTGAGTTGAACGATTTCTTACACCTCGCTTTGCTTCCGCGTCGATGACTTTACCATGCCTTTTTCTTGATCTAGGATCTATATTACATATAATGACTCCTTACAGTTCTATATTCGAATGAACGATGAACTTTTGGTATGTTGCAATCTTTCAACGACCCAGGATGTGTAGGAGCTGTCATGCAATCAAATTAACGCGTGTCTGTGTGTCTGTTCCCACCTAATGCAATGCCACGTCCACCGCCACACAGAAAAAGGATAATTCCTAATCCCAACGTTATCGTCATCAGGTACTCAAAGACTACTCTTCACCACAGAAAACTGTACGATCCTTCATGTGATCATCCATATTAGTGCGCGTTTTGATGAAAAAGTCTAATTGTTCCACTAAGTACATGTCATAATGATGTCGTGTTTTCCGTTAGATTAACTAAGACGCCCAACGACGACTTTAATTTGTCTGAGGTTTGACTTAGGACTAGTTAAAAAGAAGGCCGAAATTGTTAAACAATGATCCTTGAAGTATGAGAGACCATTTTTGAACAAGAAGTTCATCTAAGTCTTGTGAAACACTATTAACGTGACTGCATTAACAATCTGATAATCAGGGGCTAATTTGTGTAAGGGGCCAATAAAATAGGAATTCGCATGTGCTTATCGATGCAACCTATTGCGTTGTTTATCAAAACCGTGTAATAATTTTCTGAGTTAAAATGTTAGATTCAAGTAGTATTCCTTAGTCCTTGTATATTAAGAAACGTACATAACTAAAATGCATTCTAGATACCTGCCTTGGTAGAAACATCTTGATCATCGAACCCAATGTAGACATGTAGTAGACATTTTTTTTTTATATGAAATTAAGATTTTGAAAACTATGTTGACAAACAATGTAATGCGTTTTTAGGTTTCTTTAATTAGCAAAATACATGGTGCTGGAGCAATCTTTGAAGGCAACGATGAGAATTGAGATTTGGCTTCTGTAACCTTCATTTAGCATGTTTTTTCTTTCATAATTTGATCATCATCTCCTAGTTGAGTTTTGTTGACCATTCCATCCGCGAACTACATGATAACCATGATTAATCTGTTCCATATGCAAAATGCTTCCCTTTTCAGGCTACCAAGTTCGAAAATACTCTAGTTGACTCTTATCATCTTGAAGCAAGTGAAGCCTCAATTCATAAGTAAAACAACACGCTCAAAATGATGTGAAGAGATTGATTCAATTGATCCAATTGCTCCAAAATTGTTTGACCTCAGTAAATCTTCATTCTGTACAATTATTCTTTCTAGATTAGATTGAAAAAGATGACTCCAATCCTTCTAACTATTAAATTTCAGAAGAAGTTTATGAAAATAATAAATAATTCTACTATCATATTGTTGTTAAAATCTTCTTCTCGAGGTCAAATATGTCAATTTGTTATTTGATATTTGACTTGTGCTCAATAATTAGGTATGTTTCTCATAAAAATTCAAAAAGACAAGCATGTGCATTTGTAAGATCATAAATAAAAGTTTATCTACATAGGGAAGAAATTAAAAATAAATAAATAAATAATTTGGGTATTGTTTCTATGGTTGAATTCCACATATGTTTGCCACAAAAACATAAATATATTTTATGAAAAATATAAATAAATATTAAAAATATATTCTTTATAAATAGTTTTTTTGTTGAGTATTTAACGCAGTTCATTAATGTTTCTTTTCGAGAAATACAAAACTTTTCTAGCAGCTCAAATCCTCCAATAAAGAGAATGGAAAAAATCAACTGTTACTAAATAAATTCCTCTAGTTTATGCCACATTTAATTTTATTTTTATTTTTTTGAAAGTAATCTCGGTTTCCAGAATGGTATTTGCGTGAGTTTGCAGTTCTAAGTGAATTCACTCTCTCCTCGGATGCCGACGATAATCCGGCAACTTTGATCTTCCCCTCTGGTGCACCTTGCAGCCGGGATCATAATGGTTGGAGTCATCATCTTCGTCTTGAGAGACCGGGAGAAGGAACAACGGCTATATGTGCCTAGCGACAAGCCAATGAATACCATTCGGGATGTGTGGGACGGCCAGGCTAGAATTTCTCGGAGGTCAGGGTACGAAAAATTACGTTTTCCGTCAAAAGGGGAGACAAGCCCACCGACTTCCATCCCCGCAGGCGGCGCCGCCGTTCTTCCCCTCGGGGAGAGGGCCAAAAGCCCCAGCGGCCCGCCAAGACTTGACCGGCGGTGCGGTGCTCCGAGGAGACCTCTCCATCAGACGACAAGCGAGGAGATCCATCCAGCGCCCTCCACGTCCTCTCTTCCTCGTCTTCTTCTCCGCAGGAGGAGGTGCTCTTCCTTCCCGAAAGCGGAGAAGAAGATCCCAAGGTCCATCTTACCTCTCTTCCCTTCCGCTATTTTTCTTCCCTCCAGACCCTCTCTTCATCTGATAATTGCGCAGAGACTCTTCTGGACCTAGCCGTAGGAACGGGTACCCGCGTGCAATTAAAGGCTCTGGAGGGGGCTTCGGCGACGACGTAGTAACCGAGGGGCTCGCGAACTATCGAGCCCTGCACGCCGTACGGCCCTTCCCCGCAAGAGAACACCGAGCATGTGGTCGCCGCACAGTTCCCACAGTCAAAGATAGGTCAGACCCCTCGGCGGCTAAATGGTAATTCTTGACTAAGCGAGCGAGGGGAGGGCAGAGGGGGGTGAAATGTCTGCAATTGGAACCATAAAAAACGAGAATTTACTGGTTAGAGAGAGAAACTAGAGAGAGAGAGAGAGGGGGGGGAGAGTAAGGGAGGAGGAGCCGGGGGCGAGATGGGGCAGGGGAGTATACAGACGTGGTAGGATTGGTGGGTGGGGATGGGCTGTCTTCTTCTTCCTCGCGGCTGGCTGCAGCGGCAGCAGCAGCAGCAGCAGGTGCAGAGAGTTGAGCCTTCTCTCTCTCTCTCTCTCTCTCTCTCACCCTCTCTCACCTCTCTCACCAAAGAAGATCGATTAGGAGACCCGGGCATTAACTGCACAGGCCATCCGGAAATTATGAGAAATCTTATGTCGATTTCTACTGGAGACGCAGAATCTTCTCTCTCTCTGTCTCTCTCTCTGTCTCTCTCTGTGTGGCTGTGGCTTCGGTATCGAAGGAGAAAGAAAAGACTTGGACTTAATTTAAATTTAGGAAAGGAGGTCGTGGTGAAACCTCTCCTCTCAGCGGCTGAGCCAGCCCTGCCTAGCAGCTCTTCTATAAATAGGGAGGGAAGAGTCGTTAGGGTTTCGCCACCTCCTGCCCTTCTCTCTCCACTCACCCGCCATCTACGAAGGCAAATTCTTGAACAGGGCAAGGCGAGAGAGAGAGAAAGAGACAGAGAGCTTCTGAGGAAGAGAGTGAGAGTGAGTGAGCGAGTAAGAGAGAGACACACACAGAGAGAGAAAGAGGAAACCTAAGAGCTGTAATTTAGTGGTAGTTCGCTCGAATTGGACGAGGACGACAGTGAGGTGATGGTGAGGGATTCGTCGTCGACGTCGTCGTGCGGCGTCGGCGGCGGCGGCGGCGGGGGGATGCCGGCATGGCTGGGGGGGCTTCTGGAGGAGGAAGGGTTCTTCTCCGGCTGCACGATCCATGAGCAGAGGAAGAAGAACGAGAAGAACATCTTCTGCCTCAGCTGCTGCCGCAGCATCTGCCCCCACTGTGCCTCAACCCCTACCCACCTCTCCCACCCCCTCCTCCAGGTATACTACCCACTTTGCTTCTCTCTCTCTCTCTCTCTCTCTCTCTCTCTCTCTTACACATACACACACACTCTGGACTGCTTGTCACTGCATTGGTGAGGAGGACGTGAATGTTTACTTTCGAGTGCTCGTCGTGAATTCTTCTGGCTTTGGACAATCCCACAGCCATCTCTTACTCTATTAACTCTGGTTTTTTCTTTTCCTCTCTCACATCCGGTAAACTTGAGTCTCCACTCTCTATCTCCGCCTCTGGTTTGATCACAGCCGCATAAGAGAGAAAGGAAGATGCATGCATTTCTTCGATTTTTCATCACGATGAATTATCCCACCCGCCCGCGGGGAAACTCCCTGTCTTCTCCGTTTCTCTCTCTACTGGCTCTGCCCCAGCTTCCAATTCTTCCCACCTGATCAAACCCTCTCCCTCTCCACCCTCAACACTTCCAGGGGAGGAAGCGAGAGGGAGGCACCTGCTGTGAGCAATCTCAATCTTGCAGAGATTTTACCTCTACGAAATCCCTGCAATCTCAATCTCTGTCGACTCGCTCCTCCTCCGGTCATCCTAATTCCTTTCCCCTGCATTCCGCTTCATCCTGCTCATTCTATTTTATTTCAGCTGCTTGCGGGAGTTCATGGGGAAAAAAATTCTCTGCGCCTCTCCAATTGTAAGCTTTTATTTTACCCCGGGAGGGATCTGAACACCCACACCCACACCCTGCTGTGGTGCTTTCGGAATCGCAGTAGATGGAATAGTTTGGTCGCCAACTTTCCTTTCCCACCCTCTTTTCCCCTTCCGTCTCTCTCTCTCTCTCTCTCTCTCTCTCTTCTCTCTTTCCCGTCGTCCTCGCTCACAATCTGCGGGCGAGGAAGTCTTAAATCCCATCTGCAGTTTCATTAGAGAGAGAAATTGAAGAACATAATCCCTGCATTCTCTGTATCTATCTCTCTCCCTCCCTCCGAGCGGTAGGTAATTCGCTCCTCAGAGCTCGAATCCCGTCAATTAGGGAAGCAAAGATTACATCTTTTCCGGTGCCCATGTTACCACTTGCCGTGAGTGATTTGCCCCCCAAACGGCGGCCGGTTCCGGTGGGCTTCCGGCGCCGGCGAGAGAACGTTGAACTGGGAAATTCTCTTCTCACCCGCAGAGGGGAGGGCTTAGGTTTGTCTCCTAGCAGGGGGAGGTAAGGGGGGGCTCCTTTCCGGGGGGAGTAATGGCCGCCCCTCGTCCTTTCATTTGGATGGGCCATCTCCTCGTGAGCTCTCTCTCCAAGTTCCCCTCTAATTAATTGCCGGAGGCCCTCCCGATATATTCCCCGCATGCATCCTGCTGCCCACGCCTCCTCTCTCTCTCTCTCTCTCTCTATCGTGGGAATCCTTCCCTCGTGGGGATAGAGAGAGAGAGAGAGAGAGAGAGAGAGAGAGAGAGAGGGGGGGGGGCGTTGCATGGGGATTATCGCGGTGCCCACAAATTGGCGCTCAAAGGTGCGTGCTTTAGACTTGTTCTTTTGTCCTCTGAGCCCGCCGTGTTTTGAGCAGGTGAGAAGATATGTCTACCACGACGTGGTGCGGCTAGACGACCTGGAGAAGCTAATCGACTGCTCCTACGTTCAGGTGAGTTGACGGATAGATCCGACTCGACTCCCGTCTGCAATTCCCGGCTTCATTAATATGAGATTATGCGGACTGATGTTTGTGAATCCTTCCATCTGGTTCGGGTGGTTGGGGGCGGCAGCCCTACACCATTAACAGCGCGAAGGTGGTCTTCTTGAAGCAGAGGCCCCAGTCCAGGCCCTTCAAGGGCTCCGGGAACATCTGCCTCACCTGTGACAGGATCCTCCAGGAGCCCTTCCACTTCTGCTCCCTCTCCTGCAAGGTCTGCCTTCTCATCTCTCTTCTCTCTCTCTCTCTCTTCCCCGCTGGCCCACACACCCACCCACCTACCCAATTATGCGCGCTCTCCCTGTGTGATGATATATGCGAAGGTTCTGTCAGTTTTGAGGGGGGGAGGAGCCCTAGACAGCGGCTGCGAGAGGGATCAGAGTCTTGTGTGCCAGAGAGGGATGGGATTATTATGAGCGGGCCGTGTGAGAGAGAAGGCGATTATTATGAGCTGGGATGAGATTGACTGACTGAGAGACGGGGGCCGGCGGTTGTTGTGTTCAGGTGGATCGCGTGGTGGTGCAAGGGCGGGACCTGTCGGGGGTCCTTTGCCGGCTGGACGAGTCTGAGGAGGCCTTCTCCCACTTCGAGAGCCTGCGGGTCGACGCCTCCGACCTCCCCGACGCCGACGACGACGGCCAGAACACCCCCAGCTCCATTCTCGACGGCCCCCTCCGCCTCCGCCGCAACGCCACCACCTCCGCCGCCTCTAGCAACAGCAGCGGCGCCGCCGCCGCCGCCGCCGCCGCCGCCAGGATCAGCTACGGCAGCTCCGCCGACTGTGCCACCTTGCAGAAGAAGAAGAAGGGCGCTGCCGCCGGGTTCCTGCCTCAGATCGTCCTCTCCCTGGGCAGCAGGAGGAAAGGCGCCCCTCACAGGTCCCCGCTCTCCTAATCTCTCGCCCGTTTCCTTCCGCTCGTGGACTTGCTTTTGCTTTCCAGTGTCTCTGTCCGCTTTTAGTTGCTTAATCACGCCGAGGGGGGCAGCTTCTCTCTCTCTCTCTCTCTTCCTTCCGTAGTATGTATGGGAAGAGACCGTGTCGGGCATTTCCATTGCTGCCCAGGTCTCCTCCGCGGGCTGTACACAGTCCGAGCCCGGCGAGGAGGCCAATTTTGTAATTTCATGCGATGGAATGCATACTCATATGATCTTCCATCGTCTGCATGTGCATGTATGTAAGAACCCAACATCTCTCTCTCTGTCTCTCTCTCTCTGCCACGGTATTTATTTACTACCTCCTGGCCACTCTCCCCCTGTCTCTTCTTCACTGTGAAGTGGAGTCGGCGTGTCCGAAAGGCTGCGGAGCTTTTAATGCGCCGGAGCCGGAATAATAAACAGCGTGCCGCAGCGCAGCATGCGCGTGTGTGATCTTATTCCTTCAACTATACTTTTACTTATGCCGCCGTAAGCCAGGAGGAGGAGGCGGCGCCGGCGAGGGCGGAGCGCCGCCACCGGCAAGCGGCTGTGCGCCGTCGGATGGTCTGACCACGCCACCGTCACCCCACGTGACTGGTTCCTGGTTAAAAGCGCGGCCAGGCTTTTACCGCCATTCGTTGGCCGGCCGCTAGAAGACAACTGCTCCCTCCACTTCCATCTCTATCCATCTCCCCCAGTCCTCATTGCAATCTTAGATCCTCTCTCGCTCTCTCTCTCTCTCTCTCTCGCTCTAACGTTGGGAGGGTCGGCAGGGCATCGGCCAATTTAAATAAGGTACGTCTGTACGGTCTCGCCGTTTGCTTGCACGTGACTCGTTAACACGTGGCACAGACAATGCTGGCCGGGGAGCCCGGTCGGGTGGCTCAGGTTTGACACGTGCCTGCAGACGTGGTCAGAAACTTGTGGTGGTTGATTTCCGTTGCCGATGACAGCGCTCGGACACGTGGCTCGGCGCCTGGAGCTCCTGCCGTTGGCAGGGGCGGCTGCGCATGAGGACGGGGCGACAGGACAGAGGGATACCGTTGACTAATGTACGGATCCGAGCGGTGGGGACCACGGGTCAAAGCTAAAGCATCCCGCTCCCTTTCCCCGGCCTTTGCCGGTCGGAGAAGGGGGAGGGAGGGGGCGGGGCGTTCGCCCCCCAACATGCGCATGCTCCTAGAAAAGGCAACAAAACTCTCGCCACGATCTAGATTTCTGTCTGCTATTTTTTCCACATACCCAAATTTAGCATGCCACTTACAAGACTACCACGCGAGAGGCTGAAACCATGCGCGTAACCCCATAAAACGGGGTGAAATGTACAGAGCAAATTTTGCTCCCCGTTGGGATGCCTCTCTGTCGGGCATTTTGGTGCCCAAAAAAGGAAGGAAATCTCTAATCTGTTCCATGATCATTTGGACCTGTCGTTGAACCATTCAGCTGAGGATTATCTCCATATACGTGCGGTCGTCAGCATGGTCTCGAGTTCAGCTTGTAAAGGCCACTTAAAGCAAGAAAGACGAAATGATTCATCAAAATTTAGCCTAAACCTTTCGTCGCCAATGTGGTTGGGGTGGGGGGAAGTGGTTGACTAGACGTGGATAGCCACTTATCGGGAAGGTCAAAGGCCCAGTGCTACCTTAATCAAGCAAAATGGGCTCTTAGTCGACGTTATATAAATGGGTTATTGGCCCATTTGACCGAAAAGGTTCACAAATAGGCCCGTAACTTATATTTTTAGTCAACCACAATTGTGAAGTCTCTAGGTCTTCAGTCAGTTCAATTGAGGCCAAATGACCAGGCTATAGAGCAAGATACGACCCAAATCTGTCTTAGTAATTATACCCCGGCCTACGACTTCGAGGACCAAGCAGCATCTCATGGGACAATGGAGGGCTTTACAACCTGAGTTGGATCATGACATGTGGCTTCCAGACCCGAGTAGGATCTTCAATGGGATGACATGCTGCTTTGAGACCTGGGTAAGATGTCTGATGTGACAACACACAACTGAAGGGCCCGAGCCTAATATTTCTAACAAGTATGGGCAAGATTTCTGATGTGACGACACACAACTTAAGGGCCCGAGCCCAATATTTCTAACAAGTATGGGCAAGATTCTGATATATTTCTAACAAAGTCTGGACAAGATTCTGATGTGATGACACAACTTAAGGGCTCAAGCCCAATAATTCTAACATGTCTGGGCAAGATTTCTGATGTGACCGCACACAACTTAAGGGCCCAAGTAGAATATTTCTAACAAGTCTTGGCATGATTGCCATATGTGAACAAGATCTCCAGGGGATTTGGGTAGATTGACATTTCCCTGAAAAGAGAGAGATCCTTGTGTTGGTTCTAAGGTGAGCTAGATATAATATTAAGAGGTGTCAGTGACTTGGTTATTTAATTTATTTTTCACACTTTTAAGTATTTCTAGCCTTTTTCTCTTAATATCGTGCTAAGTGGGTTGATTCACACTAAGTTGGGTTGAGATAAATTAACTTTGGCCAACACAAACTAAGTTAGGTTGACATAAATTAACTTTGGCTGACACAAACTAAGTTGGGTCATTACACAATTTATAGAGACTAGGTTGACTCATTAACTATCAAAGTGAGATGAATGCTCAAATTTATAATAGTCACCACCCTTCCCTATCTTTCATCCATTTACCAATGATTCCTACCCTTGACTTATACTATTTTCCAACAATGAACTACACGATATTTATGGAATCAATAAATCTCTTTACATGGTAGATTTATCAAGTCTATCTCCCTGTGCTATATATCAATGAACTAGTTTACCCTCCTCTTCTATGTTAATTTCTTTAATTTTGAAATGATTTATTAGTTGAGGAGGCTTCAACATAGTCGTTGTTGTAACAAAACTTTGACCAAACATTTCATAATAAGTATAAGCATTTGATCTTTGTATTAGCTCTTTTAGATTTTAAAAAGTTGATAGTTGGATGTCAAATCTCTAAGGTTTAACTGACCAATGATTTCCACATTGACACCTAAGTTTACTCACTAAACTATTTGTATAGTCAAAGTTCTAGTTAGACCAAGTTTTGACCACTTTATAGATGTGTTAATATGATTTTTTTTTAATTTTTCTTTGATTTTATGTTACGGCATATTGGTATTATTGATACACTTAGTTATTAATGTGACTCAATCATTGTATAGTAAATCATACAAATTTAAAATTTATAAAACTAGAAAATATAAATTTTTAAATATTTAGAAGTATTTATGAACAAATATATAAAGTATAATTCAATAAAAATTTCAAAAATAGTGGTAATTTTTTAGGTCAATCACAGAGATGTAATATAATATCTAGTAATTATTTAGAATTTTTGTCAAATAATACTATTTTTTATAAATTTTATATTAAGAAATAAAAATAAAATATATTTAAAATTCACAAAAAAGGGAAATAAGGGTGTGGACGTTAGTGCTTGGCAAATGCGAATCGAGTAGAAATAGAGTTCTGCTTGACGATTCTTACGTAAGTGATTACAGGCTATTTAATTGATCAAATTAAGATCTATAAAAGTCAAAAGAATCATAATGGAATGAAATATATCTTGATAGATTTAAAATCAATAAATTATCACTAAATAAAATAAAAATTAAGTTGAAATCAGAAAAATAGAGTTCTGACGTCGCGGTGGCGATGCGTTGGTGATGTATGAGAATCTTGAGCATTTGGGAGGATCATCGTGTAGTGTCCACAATCTTGAAGGCTCTCTTTAGACAAAGATGATGTAAGTAATCTCTAGATCTCCTTGTGAAGTCTAGAGATAAATGAAATGAGTCATCAAATCATTTTCGACGGGTGTCACTCAACGAAGTGAAAAATAGTGACTTTGTGACTTTTCAGTAACTATCACCCGATGGAGAAGAACTAGATAGAGGTGAGACGCATGTTAGGGAGCTTCATCCTTAGGTCTATGTAGTAAGAGGAGGCTCTTCAACACATTTGGTATGCTCTCAAGAGGTGGCGACTCGTCTTCTAGTGGATCATCCTCTTCTCGACGACGGCTTGTTCATTGATCAATTAGAGATGCTTTACTCGATGGATTCACGATCCTTTTATAGCAAATCATTTAACAATTTTAGTAACAATACTCCACGAATTATTCAGAAATTTTAGTGACAATACTCCGCGAATCGTGTTGACGAGATTTTTATCGATGATCTAGCAATTCTAGTTGCTTAGTCCTTCATTGGCAATTTACAAGAAAGTCACGATAATTAGATAAAAATATGAATTTTGACTTTGGAATGATTCAAACCTATGTCGGTTGCCTGCCTTTTCTAAGGAAGGTGACACAGATTTAGACCCACATCAATTGTGTGTCAAAGTTTCTGAAGAATATAAAATAATATTACATTTCAGATCAAGTCCCTTTCTTGCGCATGTACGGCCACTCCTTACCCCACAACTGGCTAGCCACTAGTGATGTAAAAGGGGAGTGACGCACATGTGCCCCCATCAGTTCAAGCTGCTCCAACCCTTGCTCACAGCTACTCTCCAATTACACTTACAACCCACTTGCGGGCCTGGCTGGCCGACAGGTCCCCCTCATTTTGTCTTATTTTTGTTTTAATTTCTTTTTCTTCATTTATTTTCAAAGTAAGACTATAAAAATAATATAAATTCATATAAATTCACATAATTACCCTAAAATTTACATTAATTAACTAAAAACCACTTTTCACACTTTAACATAAATATAAATCTATTTATCATGAGTTAAGGCTAGAATGATATTATTTACTAATTATTAACTCATGATAATGAAGACTTATTAGTTATTATATTACAAATAAAATTTTATTTATTCAATATTAAGAACTATTTGTATATGTCATGAAGTTAAATTAAATGTTCATTGTGATACCATATGATTATATTTATGGAGTTTATGATTTCAAGATATTAATCCTTAAGATCCAAAG